TGTTTTAACTGTTATGATGTCACTAACATAGTGTTGGCACTGCATTAATGAAACTATCAAAAAGGTAAGGATTGCACTTCTGCTCACTTTTTTCACACTAGAGAAATACAGTTCTTTATTGGTCACAACTGTGAGAGACTGAAAAGACTTTATACTCCAAGAGCAAATAAAACACCAAGTTCTACCTTTCCCTTTTAGAAGCTAAGCTGTGTGGCTAGTAGAGCAGCCTTTAGCATGTGGCCTTCCTATGATAAAACTGAAGTGCACAAAAAAAAATAGTCTACTGTGACTGCAGGTAGCTCTGCTAGCAGTTGTAAATCAGCCCGCTTCTGCTTCTTCATAGACAGGACAGACTATAGCAAATCCCTGGAACTCACGAAAGGAATTTGAATAGGGGCTTCAATAAGAGTGAGGTGGAAACAGAGATTGTGGGAATATGCACACATCTCTCCCCATTAATTTATGTTTTGTGTATGCATTCTCTTCAGGGCTCTGGTTCTTACAAGTACTGTGGTTACAAACCTAGACCTTAGGGCCTGGATTGGTTTTTGCTCCTTTTGGGAATAGTTATAATAAACGTTTTTGCCAAGATAGTAAATAGAGTGATTATAATTTTTGCTCTTTCCAATTTGTTGCCAAATTTAGAAAATAATCTGGAAGTTGTATATATGCTTTTCATTAGGATTCCAGAGAAGGATACGTTATAGTTCATTTAAATTTGACTTTGTTTACTAGACAAAAAGTATTTGTGTTCACATGGCAACAAAAGTGATGGGCAGAATTGGGACTTCACCTATTTGGGCTGCTATAAAAGAGGCCAGTGGGAGATGTCTGGGAACCCGAATGGGTTTGGGAGGGAGGCAGCCAAGCAAATCGCTGGCGCCTCCTTGTGGCGGATGTTCAGTGCAGGTACTCCATAGGAAAGGCATCCAGTCACCAGATAAATGGCCTGGTAAAGGACTTAAAAGGAGGTGCAAAACACCTACACACTTCACTTGTGAAGACAACACCTTTAGAACAGAATGGAGGAGGGAGTCTGGGGAGGGAGCCAACCCCTCCCTGTTTTTATAGCCCACCATAACCCTCCTACGAGGGTGGTGGATAGAAAGGTCCAAGCCAGGGGTTGGCTGGGGGACCTGTATGGAAAATGAAGGGGGGGTAGTGGAAGTCCTGGGCAATGATTTGAAGAAACATGGATTTAGCCTACACTGTACACTTTATCTGCCAGGTAGTCCCAGACATCTATATAATAAAGTTGTGGCCTGATTAAAATGCACATAAAATGTATCCTGTCCTTTCTGGTATAGCCAGACAATGTCTTGATCTAGAGCACCCTAATATGCTCTTATGAGCCACTAATTCTTGTAGTACCTACAGAACAGAATCCTTACACATATTTGAATTTTTTGGGTCCAAACTCCTGAACTTGACATTGAGTATCTATTTGTAAACAATTTTTCTTCAGAGTCTAACATCACATGCCTATTGAATCCAGTCAGGATTTTGGAAAATTAAAACTTGGCAGGCAATAGGAGCCATCTGTGTTGCCCACTAGTTTTCTGTCATCTAAAAATACAAAATAATCTAAACAGTGCATGCAGATTGCACATCCCAAATGTGTTTTGTTCTTTCTGTATTTCAGTCTCTGTCACTAAATCACTCTAAAAAGCTTTGTAAATGTACCACTAACATGTTCTTTCAGAAATCTACCTTCCAGATCATGTGTTCCATGTCCATTGTTCTGTATGAGCAAGAGAATTTAGAGTTGGTTCTTTTTGTTATCAAGAATTCTGTGGGTGTTGTGTTGGTTCTGGATTATTCATTTTTGTAAAACAAATTTAAATATGCAGCCCCACTGGAGCTGGATCATATCTTCCTTGCTGCACTGAAAGGGGAGTTTGAAGAAAATAACATCTAACCTCTAAGCATATGAAATCAGCAGGACACACTAAGAGGAGGAGTTCTTTTCCCCTGAAGTACCCATTCAGCACAGTGGGGGGACACTGACTGGTAATAGCAGTATGATGCAAATAAATACCTGTAAAAGAAATAGGGCAATTGGAGGACACAGAGGGCTCAAGATAGAACAGGATGGAGGAAAAAAAATGGGAGAGGGGGAAAAAGAAAACAGGAGAGAAATGAGTGAGAAAGGTATTAGAAAGGCATAATAGATTACTCCTGGGGGAATTCTGCACCACTGCATGCATGCAGAAGTCATATCCGCCACATATTTCTTTGATTCCCAGCAGAAAAATGACTTCGGATGGGGAAGCAAAGGGAATCAGCAAGTTTGCAGATGACACTAAGATGAGGGGAGATATAAACTGGAGGGTAGGGATAGGGTCCAGAGTGACCAAGACAAATTGGAGGATTGGGCCAAAAGAAATCTGATGAGGTTCAACAAGGGCCGACTGGCTAAGCAGCAGTTCTGCAGAAAAGGACCTGGGGATTATAGTGGACAAGAAGCTAGGTATGAGTCAGCAGTGTGCCCTTGCTTCCAAGAAGACCAACAGCATATTGGGCTGTATTAGTAGGAGCATTGCCAACAGGTCGAGGAAAGTGATTATTCTCCTCTATTCAGATTGGTGAGCCCTCATCTGGAGTATTGTGTCCAGTTTTGGTCCCCCATCCCCCATCACTACAGAAGGGATGTGGACAAATTGGAGAGAGTCCAGCGGAGGGCAGTGGAAATGATTAGGGGGCTTGAGCACATGACTTATGAGGAGATGCTGAGGGAACTGGGGTTATTTAGTCTGCAGAAGAAAAGAGTGAGGGGGGATTTGATAGCAGCCTTCAACTACCTGAAGGGGGTTCCAAAGAGGATGGAACTCGGCTGTTCTCAGTGGTCGCAGATGACAGGACAATAACAAGCAATGGTCTCAAGTTGCAGTGGGGGAGGTCTACGTTGGATATTAGGAAATACTATTTCACTAGGAGGTTGGTGAAGCACTGGAATGGGTTACCTAGGGAGGTGGTGGCATCTCCATCCTTAGAGGTTTTTAAGGCCCAGCTTGACAAAGCCCTGGCTGGGATGATTTAGTTGGTGTTGGTCCTGCTTTGAGCAGGGGATTGGACTAGATGACCTCCTGAGGTCTCTTTCATCCCTAATATTCTATGATTCCTTGTTGTGGGGCTTTCACTCTAAAATGCCCTGCCTCTTCAAAATGCTACTGTCTGCCTTTTGCCATGACACAGCACTTTACTGTACTTAGCGATTACACCTTCTTATTACAAACACGAACATGGCCAGACTGCACCCATTCTCAGACAGCTCTACTGGCAGCCCATTCATTTCATATTGCCTTTCAACATGTCTCCACTTTCCATATCCGTCCCCCCCCCCCCCCAGTGGATGTGGTCTTGTATATGGCACAAATCAAACTTTTGTCCATCCCATTCTTGTTGATGCAAGAGTCTTTTCCTCTGTAGTGCCCATTAACAGAAATTGCTGTCCTGCTGGGAAAAAGTGTTCAGGGCAGTGAAGAATGACAAGGAGAACCTCAGAAATCAAAGTTTCATATTTCATTGAAAAATGTCATGATTTTCACTCCAAAATGAGCAAGTCTGGAGTGAAAAATCTTGAAACATTTAAAGTTTTTGAAGTTAAAATTTTTCTGACAAAAACCACTTGCATCTGAAAAATGCAAAATATCAATTTTCCCCGTTTCTGTTGTCAATGTTATTGCATGAAATATGATCAAATGGTTTGGAACTAAATTATTGCTTGTTCATTGGCTGTCTCTTCTGAAAACCTATCTTGCTCCCTTGTATAGATTTTTTTTTATTTAACTTTGTAATTATATTTAACTTGTGACAGTTTGTTGATACATAATGTGCAAAAAAGTTCCCAATTCTGTAAGTTGTTTGTTGGAATAGTCCTTACTTGACTTTGAAGTTAATAGAACACCTTATTTTAAAATATGGACTATTTTTGTGTATAAGTGTTTACATGATCAGGCCCCAAATATGTATTGGATTGTTTAGGAATGCTCTGGTTTGTCCGAAGATTTCACAATTATCCAATAGTAATTTTCTTGCTCATACATAATCAATGTAAGAGTTAACTCAAGTAAACAAGAACATGTGGTAGATGCTGTTACTTATGCAAATATTTTTAGTTAGATATAAATAAAATGTACAAATTTAACAGATAAATGTTTACTTTATGTAGATCAGACATATTAACTGCTAAGTAGATGCAGATCACTCTTGTGCTGCTTCCATATTTTTTCTTTTTCCATAAAAACGGGGAGGTAAATCCCTAATAATTTTAGACAAAACTGTACTTAATAATAGTGTGTATTGCATTAAATACAATCTGCTTGGCTGTCATATCAAGGTTACCTGTGTCACTTCAGCATCAACGCTAGGTGTTTAGAAAAACTACTGTTGACACTAGAGTACTTTAATTGTTCATTGAGACCTACCCTTTTCAATGTTGCTTTAAGGCATTTTGGCTCAGTTCTGAATCACTGAAGCAAAATTGGAGCATCTGGAAGTGGTGTCAAAATAGCCCAGGCAACCTCAATGCAGCACCCAAGTGGATAATCTCAACATAGAATACAAACACTGCATTAGTGATTGCCGGAAGGCTACAGTTCATCTTCCTCTGAAATACACCACAGAAAAATGATCAGAAAATCTAAATGATACTTTTTCTTGATGTCTTTTACTTTTCAAACAAAACACCCAAATATGTTTGGATGGTTGTTAGGCATTTCATTCTAATACTCTGATTCTCAGTTGGTTTAATCCATTGGTTCTCTCCCTCCAGAACAGATGAATGAAACTCATAGTTTCTAATATATGAACTGTGAGCATATAAATAGGTATCCTGCAGATGATGGTACCTCTGGGTTTCGTTACTGGAAGATAGAACACGATATTATTTTAGTTGTCAATTAGCAATGTAATATATATTCTATAACAGTATGTACAATGTCTTCATTTTTGTGGATTCTATAGAATGAGATTTTCTTTGCTTTGTTTTTCTCTCATAGGTTGGCGATGCAATTTTATTCTACTGATTTAACAGCCCATTGTAAGTAAATCCTTTTGTTTCTTCTGAATCATACAAGCTTTATACAGATTGATTTATTTTGTTTGGATTAATTTTGAAATGTTCCTGAATTTAACTGATGAAATGGTCCTTTGTACTTCTTTGCTACTTTCTCTTGGGGTCAAAATTGAGTTCAGTGCCAATTTCCCTGAAAATTGGTGAACAGTTAAGGGCCATGTGACATCTGTGGCTCCAGATACAGGCAGGAACAGCTTATGTGAGACATGGGGCCCCCAGGTCAGGAAGTATAAATGCTAAAACATGCTAAATATACCACCTGATACCAGTCCTCCCTCAGAATGCCACCTCTTATAGGTCTGATCCAGATGACCTACAGTTTTATGAATGTGCATAACTGGAGTTCAGGAGTGGGGTATAGCAGCTGCATCTTGCAGTTTCCCTCCTGGTTGCCTGTTTTTCTGGATCTGCATATAGGGGATAATTCTGCCCAGTATCAGATCTAAAAATCTGCTGCATCCTTTGGGGCTTTAATATTTTTCTATTTTTTTTAAATGAAGTGCAAAAATAAACTATGAGAATATAATTAATTGCTCATTGACATTTAACAACTGAAAAAAGAAATTGTGAGTCACACACCACTGCTCTCTATTGCATATTACTGTTATAAATGCAGTACCAAATGAATTCAGGTTGGAACACTTCAAATAAGTGTGACACTTTGTCTAACATGTCTAACTACCATTAATTTAGTTAGTATTCATTGTAACTACACTGATCATAATGAATTCATTTAGCATTAATGTGAACATTATATATCCTTTTAGTAACTCCATTGTAATTCAGCAATAATTAATATACATATTAAATGAAGTGTTACCACACAAAGCTATTACAGAGCTGTGTGTGTTCATTTTAAAAGCTTTAAAACTAGTTACATTTGATCTGATCAGTATGTTTGGTGTTCTCAGAATGCTGCAAAGATACCTTCTAGAATTCCATGAGGTGATTCATATTTGGAGCCCCCTATTAACCTTTTAAGAAAGATTGTATATTTACACGTGTCCATTGATCAATATATAACTTAATCAGTAAGACAGGGCATATCATGCTGTAGTGATGAATGTTGATACTCTTTTGTTATATTGTGAGTCCAAGACGACAGAGCCAAAATCTTCTAAGAAACCTGAGAAGGAACATTTGTAATATATTTTGTGTATGTGAATAATAATGCTTGCTGGTGACTGGCCAGGGAGAGAAGGAGGATGTTACTGCTACTATCTATTACAGGAGAGCTCTTACTCAATGGGTAAAAGGCCTTTGGTTTTGGAATGTAGAGACAAGGGTTCTAGTCCTGACTGAGTGGAAGGGTACATGTGCTGTGTCTAATAACACTGCTCTACAGCCAAAATGCTTCTGAAATAAATGTAGTCAAACTTTACTAATTCTGGGTCACTGAGAATGAAAATGATGCTTAAAATTGTTGCTTGGCTCTAGTTTTCAAGATATGCTTTGGGGTCAGTATATACGACCC